ATTACCGTATTCCCTCAGCATTGCCCTTCCTTCCAAGTTTCATCCCCATGCAAATTGCTCCAGCATGTACTACTCCCTGACGGGGTGGCAGAGGCATCAACAGCATTTATTTGTAGTTCATTGCACTGGGGGTGTTCAGCACTTGGTGGTGATGTGGCACCGGGAAGCTGTGGCTCCCGTGCACCGCTTGTCCCCTCTGCAAGGCCAGCGCGCCGGTCAGGGCAGTGGCCATCGGCAGCACTGGGCAGTGGGACCGAGTGTTCCGCATCCCTGGAAGTCCAGCCCTCCTGTAAATACGTGTTTGGTTTCAGTTTTGGGGGCTTTTGGGCTTTGTTTATTTTTTTGCTTTCCCTTCCAAGGATCAGATGTGGTCTTGGCCCCTGTAGTGACATGTTTTATTACCAGTAGCTTCAACAATGTCAGCACAGACCTAAGCTGGAGGTTTGGAGAACACACGCTCCCCAGCAACAGCACAAGCTGTGCGGTGTCTCTGCTGCAGCACTGAGGGGCCTGGACCCCAGAGGGGCTCCTGGGGGGCTGGGGGGAGTGCTGAGCCCCGGCATTCCCAGGGCGGGGGCGCAGGGAGCTCCCTTCCACACGGGTGAACTTCTCTGCAGCCTTCTCCGGGCTTTCAGATCTCCAGCGTGTTACTGCTGTGCAGATGCGGCTAATTGAGAAGCAAAGCAAGAGCCTGATCCAGCAAAGCCAAGGCCAACGAAATGAGCAACAGCATTCCCTGGCGCGCGGGGAACTACTGAACGCAGACCTGCCAGCAAGCTGACATCTCCAGAGCTTACAGACTAATCTTATTAAACTTGACCAAAAAGCCTTTTAGAGTTGGGGGAGCTGTGTCCAGCAAAAGCTGCTCTGGATTATTCCCCCGGTGCCTCTGGGACTTTTCCACATCGCTGGGTCCCTGCGCTGCAGGCAGGGGGATGCGGGACCCCAGCGCGATGCAGCACGGGCACGGGGATGTCTGCCCGAACCTCGCTGCTCCTGAGCTCGGCCCACCTGAAGGCCTGACTCCCACAGATGTGACAGACACAAATGGCAGCAGGGGCTCGTTCTCAGGTTCCTCATTAGAACTCGTCTGCCGCTGCCTCAGATGTCCTCCCAGCCCCCTGCCCCAGACAGATCAGGCGCAGGCTCCCTGGCTCCAGAATTGCTTCAGGTTGCTTTTCCGTTGCACACAATTATCTGGACTTTTCCATCCCTTACTTCTCCCCTCCCCTGTTCCTGACAGCTGACTCACAGGCAGATTTATTAAGTTTAAAAGCACTCCTTGTGCAAGCCACACTCCACAGCCCCGTCTTCCCAATTGCACAACCGGCTCTCGCTGCCTTTTCCAGGCTTTGGGCAGAGAGGTACCAAAATTGTGCCATGAAACCGAGTTCTCCTCGGCAAGACCACACCAGGTGAGCTCTCCCTTGCTCTGCACAACATGGAGATTTCTTGAGAGGAAAGCGGAGAACTGGCCTGGACAACTCACAATACCGCTTTCAGCATCTTCCCCTGTCTCGAGCTTGGCCCCAGCAGGTATCTCCTTTACAATTCCTGACCAGCCAGCCCCTGGTTTTCTGTCTTGCTTCCAAGATCATCTCTGTTTAAACTTCTTAGCCATTTCAGTTTCTCCATGAAGAAAGCGAGATGGTGGAACCCACTTTTGAGTGTAACATGTAAAGTAAGGGAAATGAATGACGGTATTTTATTTCTCAGACACCCAAGGCAATAAAAATCATAGGACTTATTCCAGAATCACGATTCCATTTGCATTACCATGGAGCCACCCTTTAATTTCCAAAACAAGTACGTTCTCTGCCAGTGAAAGCGAAACACGAGACTGCTGTCACTTCTGTCCTCTCCCCGTGGCTCAGGCGCACAAGGCAGGAGCAGACTATTCCTGCTCAAACGAAGCAGCGGGACACAACGAGCTGGAGGAATTCAGCCAAAGGAACAGCTTTGCTTACTTCTGCTTTGGCTGCCTCCGCGAATGTTTTTGCTCAGCCCTGGCTGATGGGTTTCAGACTGAGGGAACATTAGGATATGAAAGGGGGAAGGCTGTGACACACTGTGCTCGGTGCCAAGGAATGGCGGTGACGCACGGCAGCTGGCAGGGACCCTGCGCTCCTCGCCCAGCTGCTGCCGA